TATGTATTTTATTAAAGAATATATACAATATTATATACAAATTTATGTAAAATTTTATTAACTTTAAAATGATCATAACACTACACTACACTAAAACTTAGAAGCACTCTTTTGAAGTCAAAAATCTCAAATATCATGTTCCAAAAGTTATAGTTGTTTATAGACGAATTTATTGTAAATTTCATTAACTAAATAATGACATAATGAATCATTAACGTTTCATACAAAATATTTGTAGAAAAAATTTTGGCAAAAGAGTGCACTTACGAGTACACTCTTGTTGTACAAGTTTTGTTTAAAAAAGCTCATATTATTAAACACCATTTTAAGCTTTCTTTTAACTATTCAATAATATTACTAGTTTATTTTTGAAAAATCTACAAATCCACTTGTATATTCAAATATTTCTGTATTTTTCAAAAAATAATTTTGGGTCTTTTCAATTTTATCCTAAACTTGTTTATATTTCCTAAGTAAACAAATAAATTTTTGTTTATGTAATTGGGCTGAATTTTCTTGGGTATCACTGATTTAGATGATATGATGAGCTAATAAAAATTGAAAGCAGTCTTCAATTAGACTGTTTCTGGAATCGGTTTGTTTGTATAAATAATTTAGAAAAGGATTTCGTAAATATTTACTGGATTTCCTGAAAAAGGCGTTGGAACGTGGTCGAACTAAAAGTAAACTTGAAACAGGCGGATATTTTTGTAATATAAACATGTAATATATATATATATATATATATATATATATTATGATCCTATAATTAAAAGTGATACATACAATTAGCATATCATTTTGCAAGAGAAATTGATTCCATTAATTTTTAATTAATCATGTCTATATATACACATGTGTATATATATATATGTATATTTATATTTATATGTATATAAGTATGTATATATTTAAATATATAATTCAAGCGTATAGGTCAAATGATTTCGACCTTGTTGAGATATTTTTTTTTTTAAATTTGCATTTACGCAACTAGAATTTCTAATTTGCTATATTGCCAACTAACCAAATAACCTGGGACATGGTTGTACAAATTATAAAAATAATTTTATATATATATATATATATATTTAACATAATTTTACATAAACCTTAAATTTTCAAAAAACTTTGTTTGACCCACCATGAGTCTTGAAACATTTAGTATAAACCATATTTTCTAGATTAGATTTTTAGTTTATTGATAATTCAGATTATATACAAACACACATGGATAAAATGTTATTTTTTCTTAATTACATAAGAACAGAATTAATTAAAAAATATAAAAATCTGAAAATATAGAATATAAAATCAAAATTAAATTATTATATTTAACTTGAGCTTGAGTTTCATCACAACTTTGATGCATACATTTGAAGTCATAAATCTTAAATAATTTGTTCAGAAAGTTATATATTTTGATATGTGCAGTTATTGTAAACTTTATAGGCTAACTAATGTCATTAATATATTATTTATGTTTTATACAAAATATTTTTAGAAATAATTATTTTTCAACAATGTGCTATGGAGCTTGAGTTTCATCATAACGTCGATACATACTTTTGAAGTAATAAATCTCAAATATAATGTTCAGAAAGTTATATATTTTTATATACGAATTTAATGTAAATTTTAATAGCTAACTAAACCCATTATTAAATTAATAATGTTTCTCGCAAAATATTTCTAGAAATTATTATTTTTTGCGCTTAAGCTCTATCATAACACTACACTAAAACTTTGAAGCTCTACTTTGAAGTGAAAAATCTCAAATATTTTGTTCCAAAAGTTATATATTTTTATATAAGAATTTATTGTAAATTTTATTAACTTTATAATTCCATCAACTAATTGATAATGTTGCATACAAAATATTTCTAAAAATATAAGGTTGTCAAATATCTCTCTTCCGCCTTTTTGTATTATAAACGAAGAGCAAAAAAGCGGAAGGGAGATATTTGACAACCTAATAATTAGTTAGTTGAATCATAAATTTATTTTGAACTCAATCTGATTATATACAAACAAAAATAGTTAAAATGTTTTTTTTCTTGATTACATAATAACACAATTAGTTAAAAAATATAAAAATCTGAGAATATAAAATATAAAATCATAATTAAATTTCTATATTTAATTAAGAATACAAATTTATACCAAAAAGAAAGATTTAATTTAAAACAAAAACAACACTCAATATTGAATATAAGTTTAACATTGTTGGTTTAATATTGTTTATTATTATTATTATTTTTATTATAAAAAAATTAGGTATTGTCAATTATTTGTTTATATTCATTCAATTTTAATTTCATCTAAAAATATAGTTTTAATCATAAGAAGAAAATTAAATTAATTTATTGAACAGTAAAAAATGAATTCAATTAATTCATTGTTATATAAAAAGTCAAATATTTTTTAAAATTTATTTATAGTATTGTTGTATAACTTTTCAAGTATTTCACTAATTTATTTGATAATTATGTATATATATATATATATAATAAATTTAATTAATTTAACATTTATGTTGGAGGATAAAAATTCCATTTCTTTTTCTTAGTAACACCGCAAATTTTAATTTAAAATCTTTTGTGATTCATATCAATATACACATTTATATATATATATATATATATATATATATATATATAAATGTATATATTAATATAAATCGGTATTATTTTCACTAGCTATTTGTAAGTCATCGGATATCTATATAAATTATATATATACACGACGATAATGACAAATACAAACTAAAGGTATACGAGTATTCATACACTTATATATATATATATATATATATATATATATATATATATAAATTTGTATGTATAAATATACACATATGTGGTCAAACACTTTATAGCGAATTCTTGACTATATAAACTTGCAGACCGGGGTTTGCCAAAATATTCGTTTAAACTAAATATAATATAAGACAAGTTTGTTTGAAATTAAATTATCTTGAAGTTTTCCGTACAACAAAATGCTCTAGAGCCACTCTGTATACTCTAAAATCGATTTTGAATGCAACAGTACTTTGATACAATTCGCAAAATGCATGAGTTTGGTATATGTTCGATAACTGCCAAATTATTTGTTTAATATAAATAAATAAATATATAAAAAAATATATATATATATAAATTTTGTTAGTAAGTTTTAATTATCTTGTATAACATTTCGTATAAAATTTATCTTAGTTTAAAAATGCGTTAAAATATTTGTTAGTCCAAAGTAATTTTTTAAAGTTTTCTAATAAACAGTGAAATTGTACCGGACAGGCACTATTTTTTACTAAATTAATTTTCTTTATGAATTTTGTTAATAAGTTTTAATTATCTTGTATAACATTTCGTATAAAATTTATCTTAGTTTAAAAATTAATTAATTAGTTAAGGAGTTTTTACTTTTATATATGGCATTTTGTAGATAATTTATGCAAGTTTAAAAGTGCGTTAAAATATTTATAAGTCCAAAGTAATTTTTTCAAGTTTTTGAATAAAAATTGAAAATTTTTATTATAAAACTGATTTGAATAATCTGCATTGAATGCGCAAGCTCCGGAATATAAATCCGAGATGGTTTTACATTATATTAATTTTAATTTTTTTTTTAACATTGTCCTACTTTATAAAATATAAAAAGAAGTACACACAGAACCGTATTGAACCAAGTGTAGGTGGCATTTTGCCTTGAGGCAAGTTGCGTGAATTTATGTACTGAAATGTATTAGAGATGCTGGTAAAAATCTGCCGAGTTGTTTTTTTTAGTTAATGAAATTTAGCACATGGTTTTTGTCTTAAACAACTGCCTAAAATGATATAGACAGTTTCAATTATAGACAAAATTTCAAAATTCTATCTCCAAAAGTTGCTAAATCCCAGTTGTTGATTCTGGATCTTTTCTTATATTAGTTGGCATTTAGTTTTAAATTTTTCGGAAAATTGTACCGAATTATTTTAAGGCACTATTTTTTGGAGAAAATATTTTTTTTCAAGAATTTTTAACTTCCCGCAGGGCAAGTTATAGTAATCGCAAAAAAATCGAAAATGAAAATTTTTATATATCTTTACGTTTCAGAGGTTTCTGAATATTTTGGCATACCTTAGAAAAAAATGGATGTATGTGTGTGTGTGTGTGTATGTGCGTGTGTGTATCTATGTGCGGATACAAATTTTCGTCGACGATTTCGGGAACACGGATCAACCGATTTGAATAATTCAAACAACATTCGATTTGTATTGATAAGGAGACGTGCTGATTAGTTTTTGGCGAATGCAGGTCTAGCCGTTCCGAAGGTACGGGGCAAAAAGTGCCGAAAACGGTAACCCAGTTTTTAAGAGAACGGAGCGTCCGATTTGAATAATTCAAAAAACATTTCACTTTTTTGACAAGATGAATAATCGATCAAATTTTCATGAAGGTAGGTTTAGCGGTTTCGGAGATATGAAGGAAAAAGTAAAAAAATGAGCCATTTGGCGGTCAAAAGTGATCATTAGACATATGCACATCAAATTATCAGATAATTTTATAGAGATTTTAACAATAAGTATACATTTTGTTAACATTCCTATGGGTTCCGTACCAATGCTTATGCGTTAGACAGCGACAATTTTTTTTCAAAAAAAAAGTAATTTTTTGTCCAATTTATAGTTTCTCAAAAATCTTATTTTTTCGAAGTAATTTTTTTTAAAAAATGTCAATCGTTTTTAAAAAAATAATAATTTTTGGTACGAGAAGTTCCAGCAATTTGCCTTAAGGCACGATGCCTTAATTGCCTTAAGACAGAATTCCACTTACAACTAGTCTATCAATTTTTTACCCATCCTTGTCCAAACTCAATCTTCCATCTTCCCACCAATACTTCTACCTTAGCACATACAAACAAGACCGACAGTGTGTTGGTAGACGCGAAACTCTCATACAACCATCGAGTCCGTCTAAAGTAAAAGAGCGAAGTCAAAGAGTCAGTATGATCCTGATCTTGAACGTGGACTTTTAGTTTGTGAGATGGCGATTAACGGATAGATTAATGGATTTATAATAAAGTAATAATTGAAAACCATAAATAAATAGTTAGTAAACAATTTGTGTTAGTTAGTAATAGTTTGATTTGTTTATAAATAGTTTAAATTTGTGGTTGAAAATGGGCCTCGAGTTTCCGGACATGTGATTGATTGATAACCTTGTGTTGTGTTTTAGCGTAACAGATTTTTTTTTGAATTTGTAGTTTGTACAAGAAATGTGTGTAGTATTAGGTTGTCAAATATCTCCCTTCCGCCTTTTTGTATTATAAACCAAGAGCAAAAAAGCGGAAGGGAGATATTTGACAACCTAATATATGTGGTATATACTGAATTTTTGTTTGTGTACTATATATAGTCTTGACGGACTTCCAAAAACCAACAATTTGAAATAAACCAACAATTTGAATCACGCTATAATACATTTGAATGTATTATAGCGCTTTTTTGAAGCTTGTTTAGGGTATACCGAGTTGTTGTAGGTTGTTTTGTTGTTAGTAAATTTTATTGTCAATTTAATTTACAACAAATTCCCTGAATATACTTTGTACTTTGCATAAGTATTTTAAAAGTTATATGCAACGCAAAAAATGTACTAATGCTGATGTAGTTACTATCAAGCGTTTTCTAGAGCCTTTTATAAGTATACCGAGTTGTTCTAGGTTGTTTTGTTGTTAGAAAATGTCATTGGTAATTCAATTTCAAACAAATTTCCCAAATATACTATGTACTTTACATAAGTATTTTAAAAGTTATACTGTGGACTTTCAGTTTAAAAATGTACTTGCACTGCACTTATTTTAATCAAGACGTTTTTAAATCGTTGAAGTCTTTTAAAAGTTTCATTTTTAACGGACGATTTTTACAAATTTTTTATATGAACACTATATACTGCTATACACCAATTTATTACAAATTTTATTGGTTATTCAGTTCTTTTAGTGATTTATCAAAGATTCATGCTAAATATTTCTGTAAATTATTTTTTTTTGCAAAAAACGCACGTAGTTCAATAGAACATTTTGTAATATCGTGGAAAAAATTCTTGGCTTTGAAGTTGAAATATGTTTGTAATTTGTTTAGGGGTATATAAGGTTGTCAAATATCTCCCTTCCTCCTTTTTGTATATAACCAAGAGCAAAAAGCGGAAGGGAGATATTTGACAACCTTATATATAATATTATAAAGTAAATTATTTAACATTTTATTAGCTGTTAAATGCTATTTATATTATACTAATTTTTTATATAAAATTTTTATAACAAAACCATTATTTGGGAAAAATGTTCTCATATATTATGTGCTTAATCTTTGATGCAGAATTTTGAAGTCATAAATCTCAAATATTATGTTCAAAAAGTTATATATTTTTATATATGTATATATTATAAATTTTATTGTCTATTTAATGGCATTAATTAATTATTAACGTTTCATACGAAATATTTTTAAAAATTGTTATGCTTCATAAACGTGCTATATCCTTAAATACACTAAAATTTTGATGCAGATTTTTGATAAAAATGTACTTGCACTGCACTTATTTTATTCAAAAAGTTTTTCAAGTATACCGAGTCGTTGTAGAATGTTTTATTGTCATAAAATATTTCAGATAATTTAATTTCATATATATTTTCTATATACATCTTTCATCTCAAGCGAATGCTTCAAAAGTTATACTATATATAGTACTGACACCACTTCAAAACACATCCATATTAACATTGTTTAAAAACAAAATCACGAGCTTATCTTCCAAAACTTGTTATGAGTATACCGAGTTGTTGTAGGATATTTTGATGTTAGAATATATTGTTGACAACTCAATTTGCAACAAATTTGTTATACATACTGTATACTTTGCACAAGTAGTTTAAAAGTTTTTCTTAATAGAGTGCAAAAATGTACTTTTTGTTTCTACATGATAATGTAAAATTTTCCTTGTTTTTAGTTGCGATTTATGAGTATACGGAGTTGCTTTAGGGACATTTGATGTTAGACAACATTGTTTAGTATTTAATTTAAATTTGCCAAACACTCCAATTATAATAGGTTGTCAAATAACTCCCTTCCGCCTTTTTGTATTAAACCAAGAGCAAAAAAGCGGAAGGGAGATATTTGACAACCTGATATTAATCGAATGGTTTGAGAGTTATCGAACATATACAAAACTTATGAATTTTTCTAATTGCATTAAAGTTCTGTTATATTCAAAATAGATTTTAGAGTATATAGAATTGCTAGAAGAGCCATTTGTTGTCCTGGAAATTTTAAGATAATTTAATTTCCAACAAACTTGTCTAATACAGTATTTATTTTAAACAAATACTTTGCGATCTGTACAAGATATTAAAATAAAATCACTCATCTCGAGGCCCACAAAATTATACGTTTTTATTCACTTTTAATCTTTATGTGAAAATTTCAGTGAAATTTAATATAATGCAAAACTATAAACTTTAAACTATGACTTTCTTAAAAAAATGTGGTGTGGAAGTGTTTTACATGTTCTCAGAGTTTAAAAAAAAATCCTAGAGTCAAAATGTATAGCACGGAATATTTTACAAAGGTAAATAATATATATATATATATATATATATATATATATGTATATTTGTGTTAAATATTTGATTTAATACTATGTATCAATTTTTTCATTTATGTTTTAATATATAAAGTTTAAGGTTTTTAAAATATGTTTAAAGTTTTCTTTAAAAATTGAACATGTGCTTTTTTATTGTGTTTCCAATTTTTGTAAGAAATAATTGAGAATTTATATGCTATTAATTTTAATTATTAAAAAAATTTATTATGTTTTTATAACTATCATAATTTAAATAAAATTTACATTCAAAGAAATTTAATATTTCTTGAACATTATAATTTATTACTATAATCGTGTGTTGAATCAAAGATCACACCTTTATATAAAGTATTGAGTAATTTTGAAAGTGATTTTAAAGTATACCGAGTTGCTATAGGTCATTATAATGTTAGACAAACTTATTTGTTATTTAATTTTGTACAAATTTGTCGAATATTTTATATATTTAGGACAAACGGTTCAAAAGTTACAAGAGATTTCATTAATAAATGCACAAATAAATTTTAGGCTAGTAATTTATGTGTTCATTTTCAAATAATATTTAAATCATACCGAGTTGCTGTAGGGTGTTATAAGGTTAGAAAAAAAGTAACAATTAGTTAATTTTGTACAAATTTGTCAAATATTCTATATATTTAAAACAACCGGTTCAAAAGTTACAAGAGATATACTAAATAAAAGCACCAATAAATTGTCAATTGAGGCACTATATGCTTAAAAACGATTTTAAAGTATACCAAGTTGCTGCAGGACATTAGACAATATTGTACTTTTTTTCAAATATATATAAATACATTACATAAACAATTTATCTTATATAGATAGAATTTATATATACAAATCACGCAATTCTAGTCCCACCTTTTATTTATTCAGAATAAGTTTTAAAACTAAATAAAAACCATTCACCGATAAAACAACAAGGCCATCGTGGTCTTTATCTTTGTTAGAGAAGCCTTATCACTTTAATTAAGATAAAAATTCGAAATTACGTCTTGACGAATTTTTATTACTCTATTTTGTTGCTTTTTCACCTTCGAAAACAAATTGGAATGGTCAGAAATAAATTGGATAGAAGAAATATTTGAAATAGAAATAGATTTATGTAATTTTATAATAAAATGTATTTTTTTGTCTCTACACAGAATATAATTGTTACAAGAAATTATCAGAAAGAATTTTAAATTTTATTCTGTTCTGAAAATTTATTTGTGCATTTATTTATTATATCTCTTGTAACTTCTAAACCTTGGGTTGTAAATATATATATATATATATATATATATATATATATATATATATATATATAATATTCAACATTTTTAATATAATATTTATAGATTAATTATTTCATAAATTACTCTCTTCATTGAGTTATTTACTAGTACATTTTTTATTTTTTTGTATTAAATTTTCAATTAAGAAAATGCTGCAGAAAGTTTCCACAGGTAATAAAAGTTTTATGAGAAATCAATAGGAAAAAAGCTGCATTTTTCAATGTCGAGATTATATACCTGATTTTTTTATTTATAGACAACTATTACTATGTGAATTTAAGTAATTACTTAAAAAAACATTTTCGAAATTTACTGATTTTCTCTTTAATTAACTTTATCAATCAAATTTTCAAATTAAAGTTAATATTTTTCATATCTTGTAGAAAGAAAAAAGACTTTTTTAGATAGAAATATACAGCAAATAAATTGAATAAAAAAGTTCAAATGTTTTACAGAATTTGATTTATTGTTTACATAAAAATTATTGTCTATAATGAATACTATTCTTCAAAAGGCTTATTAGTTGAAAATTATAATTCTTATTATAATTTTTAGTCAATTAAAACAAGTCATTTACAACTTAACAATAGTCATTGTGGACAAAACTAATATAATATTCAGAAATTAAATTCAACAAAAAAAAAACTATTTTAACAAAAATTTCAATGACTTAATATGACTTATTAAATTTAAAAAAATATGTTGAGCTTGAGAATGATTGATATAATATTTTTTATTATAATATATATAAATAGAAAATAAACATATATAAATAGAAAATCTGATAGACGTATATGTATATATATATATATATATATATATATATATATAATATATATATATATATTATTCATAGTGATTTTTTTCTAACAAAATCTTGAAATGGTGCCAAATATTCTGAATCACCATTTCTATATTTTGGCCTCTACATTTTTACTATAATAATTATATATATATATATATATATATATATATATATATATATATATATATATACTTATATAAAAAATGTGAATAAACAAGTATTTTATTTTAATGTCTAGAAAACTGGTACTACTGCAAAAATGAAGACGTAAAAG